TTTCATTTGGAATTTGAGGCCATGGAGCTGACTGATAAAATACAATCAATCAATGTGTTTAAGCACACAACATTTTGTCCTATACTGTAGAGAAGCAAAAATGACTAAGATGACAAAGCAAATTTGTGATGCAATCTATCAGCAATCGCTAAGGAGCTTGCTGTAAATGATTCTCAATGACACTAAACAGATGATCTGATAATTGGCTTTGCATCACTGAAAAACATCACTTAGCTCTTTTGGATAAAAGTATTGTAATCAAATCAACGATTTACATCAGAAATCATAATCGGTTAAAAATCTGGCTGAAGAAAGAAGAAACGTTTGCCATAACCGAATATTATATTTAGATGAAGATGAGCAGAATGAAGTTCTGAATCATGAAGCATACAGAAACGCATGATGTGATCTAACGGCCTCAAAGAAATGAAAGCTATGTGCAAAAGAAAGCTAGTACTCGCTTTTGAAGAGCAAAAAGCCAAATTTTTTACCGTCTTTGATGTGAATTCAAAACAAGCATCATACACGATGATTATAGCGTGGGCTTGCATTTACATGTTTAGACATAAATTCACACAGCATGTTATCAGAAAGCCAATTCTGGAGAGGAATGAGTTTTGGGCGTTCATTCATCAAGCCTTGAGCGAAGTGAGTATTTGCAGCGATACTTTATTTGAGTATTTTTTGACATCTAACTTTTTGGTAAAAAATAATCTTGAGCACCATATTCATAAAAATATCCTTTGATTTTGAACATTGCAAAATTTAATTGATGGCAATGCGACTGGAGTAATTTGATGATTGTTGATTGATTAATTGATTGATTGATTGATTGATTGATTAATGATTGTTGTGTAATTAAACGAAGACCCCCTCCACGTCGATTGGCGGATCATCCGAAAGCTCCGAAAGCATCGTTAAATTGCTATTCGATACATTGGTCACAAGCAACGGACATTCAAGTCACGAATTGCGAAATTGGTTTAAGAGTTAACCTATTTTTGTTACAAGATCTGCCGAGAGATTTTCTTTATCTAAATCTTCAAAGCTGATTACATATAAGCGATTAGAGAAAGTACTCGCTTGTGACTGATACAGGGCTATATAAGTGTAAGAAAGAAAGTTGTGTCCGTGTCGGTCCACGCTCTTGATTTCTCGCTTCAAATGCTGAAGGGCTTGCCTTCCCAATTCCTTTCGAGGCCACGGGTGCAAGCCTTCAGCAGAATCCTTTATAGTCAACATAATATTACTCTATTTTGCAACCGCTTACAATGCCGACAATAATACTATGTGATAGGTAAAACAGGAATGTTGATCTTTTCTTTTCTGTTATCCTTGCCCCAGCCTTTATTTGAAGAGGTGCATTTATAATAAATTTCAAAGTTAACAATGAAATTCTTTCTTTTCACAACCCTGCGCTTTGTTTCTTGGTCAGCATCGAGGCACTCATGTGTGGACCTTACGATCCCCTAGTGAGCAAGGCAGCTTCGCTTCATGCAGAGTCGAGGTAAATACTTTGAGAGTTTGCAGAGTTTATAAGTTCTTGTATGTAATGCAAAAATCCTGACATTTGGGTGATCATTGGAGCGATTTTCTCTTCAACATCTCTTCTCCCCTTTGCTAGAGTTCGAAAGAACAAATGGGTCTCGGCTTTTGAAAAAAACGCGCTTCAATTAAAAAGCCTACGCAGTTGGTGGGATTAGGGGAAAATCGTGAAATTAAAGCGGCAAAGGTGTAATCGCTTCATAAAGGACTATTTGTCACTTTCGTCCAGGCCCTGGTTCACATCCCTGGCAACCCTACAGAGTCTATTCGTAAACTTCTATCACTGCTGTGTTTGCGAGTTAGAAAGTACAGTTAGAAAGTACTTCAAATGCTTTTGTAAAGTACATGACTACCTTTTTCAGAAAGTTAAAATTTTCGGGAAAGCAAAGCTTCGGAATGTAAGAACCTGTAGATTTCTCAAAATGGTGCTAACAAATTTTCGGACCAAACTAATATTTTCACGGAAGCGTTTTTATACGAATATCGGACTGTGATTAGGATATCATATTACGCTTGGAAGGTACATCTCACTTCAAGTGGTCTGTGCCACTCATAGTATTTTTCGTGATTTGAAGAAAACGCAGATGTAGGTGTCATATATGTGAAACGAATTCAGTGGTATAGATTTTACCAAAGGTATCCGCATCTTGAAAAATTTTGGCCACTGCAATACAGAGGGAGTAATTTAGCTAAAAGATGTCAAATGCTCATAAATATCGAACCATTTGAAGAGTTTTTTATTCACTTGCGCATTTTCACAGCACACTTCAATTAGCTTTGCTATCATCTTCTCCCCGGATTTGGGTGGAGCACTTGCAGAGAACTCGTTTGGTGATCTTATGCACCCTCTACTGTAAGTTGTTCTTTGTAATCTCTCGCTACCAACTCTGCCACATATGACAACGTATGATATATATATGGCGTACAAAGAACTAGACTTGCAGTTGAGTTTTGATAAGTCACCAAGACGTTTGGATGTCTGCAAACGCTCAACCCAATGTACAAAGGGGAGGCAACGATACTAGGCGCGAATTCCATTCCTAAATAAGGGATTTATCAATCCCCTATTTAGGAATGGAATTCCTGTACAGGTAACAGCCCATACGAACGCGGGCACTAGCGCCCGTGATACACCAAACCAAGCTGGTGATCGGGCTTCTCTATTGGCGAATATGGTCCGATCTGGCAAGTTTGGCCATGTCGGGCACAGCAGCCGGGCAGCGGAGCCCGACCTGTCGAGATCGGGCTCTGCTGCTCGACATTGCCAAACTTGTCAGATCGGACATGAAGTTTGGTGACACGGGATTGGCGTTCTCTCCTGTTCGGGCAATCGTTAATAATGGCTCAAACAGCTAGTTGATAGATAATTCATTCAAATCTGTGAAATCACTGGAGCTTAATGCATGATCCCTATATATATAAAACTAAAAAATTGTCTGTTTAGAGGGTATGTGAGCTATAGAACGCCCGTCGCTCAACCGATTGGGCTAAAACTTTGCATACAGATGTTCTTGACCCCGACTGTTTTAGGATACTTTTTACTGAAGTTCGCCGGGTTCTTTCATCGATTTATTGATTTGTTTACGTTTTTCTAAGAAACTGGAGGCTTATCATGTTTAATCAAGCATTTTCTCGTGGTCACGTAAAGGAGGGCGGTGAAGCTCATTTTTACCTCAGAGTCACGAGGATGCGGTTTCAAAACGAATGTCTCAAGGTAAGTCATTCATAACATATAAGGGGGGGGGGGGCTCGCAGTGCAGGTGACCAGTGGCCCGGGCTGGACCGGGAAAGCGAACTAGTGTGCTATAAGATCTAACTTAGGAGTGCATGACTAGCAAGATTATTTAGTGTACAGGTTTCAAGGGTGCTCACATTCATCGGAGACACAGTAGGTGTTTTAAACAACTAGTCCTTGAGGATGTGGCGCAAAATAATTGCAAAAATTGGACCTTTGAACGCTTATAATTTTTCCATAGTCCGACATCGCAGATAAGGAAGATGGGTTTGGATCCTTTGTGTACTGCTTTTAGGAACTCTTTTGATAGAGGAATCATCTCGATTGAAAAGATTACGACAATATTAGAAACTTCCCAACTTTCAATTGCTATCTGATCATCCTCTTTTCCATTTCGTAAAATTCCTTCTTTTGTGCATAAGCATGTCTAGGAAAATGACCAGAAGTTGCTACGGTCTGCTGTGGCTCAAAAACAACCCAATTAATAGTCTATAGCTTTACAGAGTCAAGAGAAAACATTAGCAACCGAGAACTTTCTGTTGAACTTGATTGGACGCAAGCTTTATTTGCTTCTTCGCTGAAAAGGCAATTACCGATATTTTTGTTCTAAAAAAGAAGCTGATGAATTTACAGTTGAACAAGCGAAATAGTTGATGACAGAGTTGTGCATATTTTGCACAACTTCATGATGTTTTATTTTTGACATAATTTGCGACAGTGTCTCTTACAAATGCCTAGGAATTACATAGCAGAGAAATCAAGATTATTGCAAACTCGTGTTTTCCCTTACACTCAGAAGATCATTTGTTATAGAGGACTGCATGTCGCTGAAAGTGGGAGGGTTTCGACGATGCAGCAGATATCAGCCTGTGCATGTAAAAAGGCGTATTTGTGGCAGATGTCCAAATGGACCTCCCATTTTCGGCGACATAAACAGGGTGTCCCAAAAAAATGTTTCGAACGTTTGATCGTTAATATCTCTCTTCCCAAGAAGTCTTTTGCCTTGCTTCAGGTATTGCTTTGTAGAGCTGGCTTCAACTTAGATTTGCATTATAAAACGAATCACCCATCTCTCTTCATTACTGTAGGATTACGGTAGAAATTTCAAGGAGGGTTTTGAGCCATGAAAGGCCATATTTTGCCTCAAAAAAGAAACAAAACAGCCTGAAAACTTTTACACTAGGCTAATTAGAGTTGCTGATAACAACTGTAAAGTTCCCAACTTGTTATGATGCTTCATTGACGAGTTATGCCAAGTAAGAGGTAGCGGCCATTTTTTCAATGTTCTTAAAAAGTGCGATTAAACCGTTTAGAAAGCTTCGTAATCTTTTGAATAGTTTAGCATTGAACTCAGCGTCCATAAAAACCCTATTACACATGTTTTCATATTATTTTGAAATTTTTTGAAAAGGCAGATTTTTCCATATTGACACCATATGTTTCAAGTTTCTACCGTAATCCTACAGTAATGAAGAGAGATGGGTGATTCGTTTTATAATGCACATCTAAGTTGAAGCCAGCTCTACAGAACGGTACCTGAAGCAAGGCAAAAGACTTCCTGGGAAGAGAGATATTAACGATAAAACGTTCGAAACATTTTTTTGGGACACCCTGTAGTCCCATACCCCATTTGTTTCTCTGTCACTTATGCCGAAGTCTCGTCTGTTCGTCGTTTTATCAAACGCTCTACGTACCGCTTACTTTCTCAAAATATTTTTCCAGGTAGTTCAGGTCAATTCGACAAGAATGAGAATTTTCAACCTTACCTTTTTGTTACTTACCATCTTAGTGGTAGGTTGACCAAACAAGACATGATTTAGTTTGCGATTTGACTCCTTAGACTTACTAACTGTACATTACTTTAATGCTTACAGATTCTCACTGCTGTGGACGTTGGTGAATGCGGAATTATCAGAAAGATAGCAGGAGGATTGGTTAGAAACCTTCCGATTATCGGTACGGTCGTTCGCACAGGATTGGGAATAGTTAAAAAAGTCAAAGGTGGAAAGTGATATTTTGTGCCCGATTGTCGATAAACCTTGGCATTGTGATTCAATTGTAACACAGTCATTAAGTTGTTGACCAATGTTAACAGCAAGACTTTATTGCGCGACAAGCCAACGTTGGCGGTCCGTCCGCCTTCATCAGGACTTCCTGAAAGATTGAGACTTTGAGAACTGCCTGCTCAAACACCCTGTTTGGCAGTAAATTCAGTCTAGCTATTCTGATGGAGTAGTGAATGGATGTGTAAGCCTGAATTCAGCCTTTTCAGATCGGAATGTAGAGACCGAGCAACCAGTACTGCGCTGCTGCTGCACTATGAGTGAGTATGATAGTCACAGTGTCCACAATGCCCTTATATGGTTATATAAGATCTCGTATTAGAATCCACATAGTGTTTGATAGGAAAACAGTTCGATGTTTATTTATTTATTTAATACATGCGCTCTAGGCGTTCCTTAAAAAGACAAAAATACACAGTTGCTCATACTCTAATACCACGACAATTCATTATGTAATTTGGGTCTAAGCATTTGGACTAGATAATATATGATAGTGATAATATACGTTTATGATAATGCCTTCATCTTTGCTGTCCATTTTGGTGGTTTAGACGCTATCCAAAAGGCCTCCAATGTTTTGCGGGCCATTAACTCCGATTCGTGCGACAAGATCATAACACTAACTTGAAAGTACTGTTCTCATGACATAACCTTCCTTCAATGTGCACCCATTTTGGATTTTCTAGGGCATCAAGATGTTTTGATTCTTGTGCACGAGGGTGTGCCGATCTATCTTTTGTATTGGTCACCGCATTTTTGACACTTTATGAAATATACCACCCCTAATTCCATGCAGTCGTCTAGTTTTCCAGAGCTCAGATAATACAATCGGCGGTCTTGCACATTCTGTCGTACGCACGATTTAGAAGCAGGGATATCTATAACTTTGACAAGATCATCGAGGCCCGCTTGAAACAAAGATTTTCTTATAGTTTCTTTTATAGTCTCTTATAGTTCTTATAGTTTTGCTCAAATCATCATATACGAAGAACACAAAACGATATTTTTGTTGTCTGGTTCATTTCTATCGGTCTGCTTTCTTGCCTACAGGTATGCATTGGTGCACCTTTTGGGGATAGCCGTTATGATACGCAAGCTCTTTGGCAAGGTTCATCGATGCATTGTGGTGTTGGATGTTGGATCAACGTTGGATGAAACCGATTTTGCTGTCTTGAACATGTTGCCTACGGACCGTTTCATGCTTCAAGGTTGCGCAGAGCGGTAGCAAATTAATATAGTCTTACTAGCTCGTTTGCATCATTTAGTTACGTATGATCTGTAAAATATGAAAACTTGGACGTTCAGGAAAGCTAGCCAATTTTCGTCGAGTTTATCCCGCGCGAATCTTATGTTAGGGTATTGGCTATTCAGAATGTCAAAGCATATGCCTATCTCACTTTGAGTTGGACATATTATGCACAGTCATCAATGTATATATATCAAAGAGCAAGGGCCTACAAGCAAGTACTTTATGTTTTTTAATTTTTGACATAAAGGCGATTGCGACGCCGGGAGTCAATCTTTGCCCCGTCGCTAGGCCGTACCTGTTTGCGGTACCTTTCTGACCAGCGGAATATTTTTAGCTACTTTTTTATGCTACGGTATTTATTGTTCAAAGCTATGTTGACCCACCACTAAAGATCGCGCCTGCAGAGTCAGTAATGGCAGAGATTAGTAGAATGCCTTATATAGATGTATTCTCAGATCTAATCACATATCAGACTCTTTGTGAATTTGATTTACAATCAAATTCACAAAGAGTCTGATATGCGATTAGATCACTATTCTTGGCAACGCCCTCTCCTACAGTTCATTGCAGGAGCTTTGGATGTTAGAAAATTTCCAACATTAAATTACTTCATCGCCTTCAGATTGTCACACTGTCACTATCTCAGGTGTGAGTGGTCGGTGCAAAGAAGTTTATAATCGTCATTTCCGTGGATCACAACGCTCAAATTCAAATTGCGGTTAGGCAGCAGTATTTCAACGCACACTGCGCCGTGCACATTCGCTAAACTAGTCTGAGAGCTGGGCTCAGGCTTCCTGAAATATTTCGTTTGAATTCTTTTTGATATCAAGTAGGGTACAAACATATCTTGCCTAGAATATTAAGCATCTCCAAATTTTGTTGATACCGCTCATTATCAACCATCAAACTGTTTTTATATCCTATCTGCAACTAGTAGCGTCGCGTTATTATATCTTCATTCTAGTTAATAGATTCAGCGAATCACGCGTGAATAGATTTTTGAAATTTTCCATGTTAATGATTCACTGCTTCCACTTCATGCACTGGACCACATAAAATGTTCTCGCTCTAAGTTCATTATTTTTTCAATTAATTCTATCTCTTTTTTTGATTAGCTGACTGTTACGAACATTGCACAATGATATTTACAGGTTATAAGGTCATAAGATCTACAGGTTTACCTTTTTTAGTTTTTACTTCTTTTCCTGCTCTTGATGAAGAATTATTAGGTCATTCGGAAAGTTCTTTCGTTTTTGCAGCACTGAAATTCAAACAAGCACAACTTTTTTCAAATCCAACCTTTCCCCACCAAATAAACTTCCTTGTGTTCAGCAATTTTCTGTTAACAGTAATGTAGTGCACTTGGACCCTTTTCTTGTAAAATGACCTCAGAGAAATCAATGAAACTTAAAAAGGCGTTTTTGACCAGCTAATTTTCATTAGGTCATGCTATTTTTTAATAAGCACAGAGAAATTAGAAAATTTGGTGATTGGTAAAGAAAGGTCTAAAGAGTTCGAAAAATAAACAGGAACCTCGATGCGCAGTCAATCCCTCTTTTGTGAGGGCCACATTTCTTACATGTGGTCTTGCGGGGTCTTGGGCGAGGATGGTACCTCTCATAAGTTTCATGCGCAAGTCTGCTCAGTTTTGAAATTCTGACAAATGGCCGCTTTTGATGCTTGTTCTAAATGATTTAACACAATGTCGCTTCTTGTAGCCGTACTTTGTCAGTTTTTCGCTGTAAGTATCAACCCAGGCCAAAAAAGAATTGCTCCATCAAATTATGAGCAACGAAAACAGGGTCAGCGCGCCCTCAATTTGCGATTCGACAATTTCTGGGGTATGTCAGTGACATTTTTCGTTATTGCAGCTGTGGCAAGGTGGCTTCTGATGGAACTATATGAGACTTTAACGCCTGCTGATAATTTCATTCAGCTAACGGATTTGCTCTAAAGGACCCTCTGAGATGCTTGTTCATATGGCAGAAACACCTTCCAGAACACTGCAAAACTTAACTTTCACTTCTCTAAATCTGAACCTTTTGAAGGAGACTTGTACTACCCTCAAGAAAGATGTGGCCTTGGTGAATGCATTGCGCACCTTGATGGTTCCTCAACTGTCTTACACTCGAATTTAGCTTAGAGAATGCAATCATTCGAAAATCACGCTTTCTGTCGAATTCAAAGCCGCGTAAACTTCCCTACAAATCCTTTTCTGTAACTTCGGTGTTCCTCAAAAACTAGAGGAATTCCTCTGAAGATCCAATATAGCAATCCCCTTTCAGCCCTGTAACACTCTCTCAAAATATGGTGCCAACATCAAAGGCGCAAAAAGCGAAAATACTTTCCGAATGACTTACTATAATTAGTGTGCAACCACTTTATAGCGGCGTACATTTGCTACGATGCTTTTCAAGGCATGGACAAGATTTATCAGGTCTCGTTGTGAGCAGCTTGTGTTTCGTATGACTAAACATCTATTCTTAGACTATGCTTTTCGAGAGATTACATCATACCACTTCCCTAGTATTGTAAGACCGTACTTCTCTCTTTTCCAAAATAACGATTCCAAAATGAGCTTGTGTACAAATATAAGGTTGTTCTTGTAGGGATGTCTTTTGAAACAGTTTTCTTCCTTTTCCGCTAAACTGGAAGTCGGGATTATACTCTATGACTCCGAGTTTCTCTATTCTTTCAATAACAAATGCTTTTGTTTTTGCTACCTCCTCGAATTCTTTTTTACTTTCTCAAGCCTGGTAGATTCTCGCACATTGATTACCTGGATTTCGATGTGCATGACTATTTCTTATCTAGAAGATTATATGTAAAATAAGAAATTTTACAATGATTACTCAACATTATTTCGAAGTATCTAGAAAATTGCAAGAGCTAGAAAATGCATTGGTAAGCTAGTGGTATAAATCTGACAAGTTTTCTGCACTGCTGCTCTCCGCGCGCGGTTACTGTAACGCCGCGTTGCGACGTCCATTTGGCAGCCCGCACGTAACGAGCACCCCCTAGAAATGTGCCTGTTCTGCCTGTTCTACGCTAGAGGTTATAATCAGAGTAGTTGGCAAAAATTTTTTTCAAAAAGTCTTTCCTTAGTGCTTCAGAAAAAATTCAAGAATACTAACAAGGGAAGTTCACTTAGTCGAAGTGCCGATTCGGAAGGAGACTTATATCAGTGGATAGAGCTTAAAAAGCTGATCTCGGATATACCTTCTTTATCTGCGATGCGTTGTTCTGAAAGAAGTTATGAGCTTTTCTAAAGCCAAATTCTTGTGCATTTTGAGTCGCAAAATCATGATAATCGTTACACAAAAGTGTGCAAGCTTGAGCAAACTACCTCATAAGCATTGTAGTTCTAATTTGAGTTCGTCCGAACGCTTTTGAATGTTTTTCGACCATGTTGTTCATCCACAGGTCGTCATTTCATTCCTAGATCACATTTTCATTATGTATACAAAAAAGCCCCATACCCCCCATGTATAAAAACGCGTAGCGTCGGAAAATTTCTGGAAATTATCAAGTATAAAACGTGAAACGATGTTCTCAAATATATCTTCAATATCTGTGACGCGCTTTTCTAGATGAGGTTATAGCCTTTTTTGTATATATAATGGAAGTGTGATCTGGAAAGAAAATGACGGCCTGTGAATAAACAACATGGTCGGAAAACAATCGAAAACGTTCGGATGGACTCGAATTGAAACTACAATGCTTACTAGGTGGTTTGCTTGCACACTTTTGTGTAGTGATTATCATGATTTTGGGACTCAAAATGCACGAAAATTTGGCTTCAGAAAAGCTCATAACTTTTTTCAGAACAACGCATCGCAGATATAGAAGATAGATCCGAGATCAGCTTTTTAAGCTCTATGCACTGGTATAGATCTCCTTCCGAGTCGCCACTTCGACTAGGTGAACTTCCCTTGTAAGGCCCATATGCACGTACATTCCCTCGGGGAGGGGATGTGCGTTTAACATTGAAATAATCCCCGCTGGGGCTCCCCTCCCCCCTACGCAAACCCCCGTATGCACAAAGGCAATACTCGAGAAGGGATCCCCTAGGAGTAGGGGAGGGGAATCCTCTTATGCAGAAAGAGAGATCGAGCGGAGAAATCATTTTGCTTCCGCTTTTTTTGCGGTAATCATTCCTCTTTTCCTATCCTTTCATAGCTACTCGTCTTCAGTGTGTTCGGCAGTACTTTAATCGTTGAGAAATGCCGTCTGCCCTGCCCGTCGGCGCACTAAAAATAATATTTCGGACGCCCATTATATTCCTGCTGTTTTCATGGATGCTGCTCATTTTCGCCCATGCTGCCCATTTCAGCGTAAAGGTGTTCAAAAGTAGAAGTCAAGATGCCTCTGCAGTGAGTAGAAAACGCTATGCTGCCGAAAAAAAAGGGAGGCGGTGGTGTTCTCGAATCAAACAATCTCACAATCAAACCAGCATTTCTACACATAGCAGAAGCTGCAAATTGCGCCAGCTCTTCATGGAGGTTGTAGCTATCAGCGAAATACCGTCCATTCTCCCAAGGGAATGATCCTCGGCGGCCATCTCTGCTATGCACGAGGGGAACGCTCGGAAAGGGATCATTCCCCCGGGATCTTTATTTAAAAATAAGCAAATCTGCTACTTTCTAGATTTTTTCGAGGCAGCTTATGTTGAGTTAACAAGATAAAGGTAACATCTCATATAATTATGGTAGTTACAATGTGTTTAACCAGCCTATGTGGCTAAAATTATCATGTCATATGGAAAATGTGCAAATTTCTCGAATGATCAAGACTTCTACAAACATTCGAAATTGGCAGCTATTATATGCTCGGATTTTTTTTTCAAGAGGCGAATATAGAAGAGGGAGACAAGATTGCAAGCTACAGGTCGCCGAGAGAGGAACCCGGCTTTCGAAGAAAATTTTTCATCGAATTGAGCGAAATGCTTTGTAACAACAATGAAACCAGAATATTCGGTTTCTGGCATGATCTACACCATCGAACCCCTACTCCTTCGTAGGGGATGTCGATCCCCTCCCTTGCGTTATCGAGCTACATTCGTGCACACGGGAAGGGAAAGGGAGGGGATCCCACTGGGCTCCGGGGCTCGTCCAATCGATACCTCTGAAATTTGATACTGAATTTGAGGCAGCGAAAGAGTACCGCAAAGGAATAACTGGTAAATGCCGGAAAAACCACAGAAACTACAAAAAGCTGCACACTCACAAATTCTTTTGTAGGAGAAGTACATAACGTGATTGCGAGGAAATCTAAACATGAACTGAATCAGTATTCTTGTACACTTTGCTCCAGAAGTTATTCTGGTGTACAAAAATTGACCAAAATAACTTTTTTGACGAGGTTTTGTAGTAGCCGTAAATTAGAAGCGGCTACCGCAATTACACCCTCAGATAATCGCCGGGGGCAAGCGGTCCGCAAACTCGCGCTTTTCTGCAGGCGGTCAGCAGAATTTTGAGGCGTGGCCAAACATTCAGCGGGCGGCACTTCCTTTACGGTCGCATATTCTGCCAGCGGGCAGCAATACAGCATTTTTTGCAAGCGCTCGGCAAGTAATTTCTTTCAGCGAGCGCTGGCCGAACTTTCAGCAAGCGCTCGGACTCTTTTTAGGCATTTTCGGGCGTACGTCGAGCGCAGGTAAGACTCTGGTGGCAGAGGTGTCACCGTTGGTTTAATTACTCAAGTTTGAGGTACTTTCTCTCAGCGGAAAGTACCTGAGGGTTGCGCGGTCCTCCACAAAGGACCTTGCGGCCCTCGAAATTTTTGCATATTCTCGCGGAAAGTCCGCGAGAATGCGGCCACTGCGCCGCAGCTAATCCATAAAGAAACCGCGATTGTTCTTCAAGCATTCGTCTTTAATTTCGCCAACTTTCTTCCAAACTTCTGCAAGCGGGCCGCAAAAAATCAACGAACTATTTTTCCGGTGCGCGCTTGCTCAAAATTCGCATGGCCGCCTGCCCCCGGCGGTTATCTGAGCCATCCCCGCTGCAGGTGCAGGGGAGGGATCGCTCCCTTCCCTTCTGTCATAGCGAGGTTCAGAGGAGGGGATCGTTCCCCTGGGGATCCAGCTCCCCTCCCCTCCCAGCGGGGATGTACGTGCATAGGGGCCTAAAATTGGAGTATCAAGGGCATGCTGTAGATCTAAAGATTTGCCTTGACGAGCTGAATACAATGTTGTTTCCGGGAAGAATATATTCATTCCGAAGGAAGTTATGATGCTGCGTACTTTGCGATCCCCATTATTCCGCGGAATTCTCGTGATTTCGCGAAATTCCTGGAACGAAGCAGGATTCCGAAAAAGTCGCAAACTTTTGTTGAATTCTTGGGTTTCCGCAACGTCATGTTTTGGGACCGGCTTTGGTAGTTTCTGAGATAGTTGCCAAAATTTACCATACCCAATTTGGCGATTTTTCAGAATCTTCATAATTTGGAAAAGCTTTGGTAGCATTTAGATAGCATAAACAAACGCTATGCAGTGAAATTTTCTCGCATCTCCGCAGCCAGTTCTAGCGTCTCGCTCAGTGCTATGCCATATTTGTAGCCCGCTCGCTTTTACCGTTCTCAGCGGGAAGCGACAGTGAAGCGGTAAGGCTGACAGAAGTAGGTTCATAGGGCATTTGATTGTTCCAAATTAAGAGTCTTGCAGATATTTAAGTTTATTAAGGTTATGTTACATCGTCATACACTGCAAGAACAAACTAGTTAGCCAAATATGAAGTCAACCCGTTGCCTTTCACTGCCTTTTCATAAGCTTTCTCGAAGTCTTTTGTAAGTATTTGTATTTCCTCACATCGTACAACATCCTATATTAAGTATAAGTCATGTACCATCGGTGTCAATTCGCTTTGATGTCTTCCGCGCCGCAAGGGTCTGGCGTGCACGTTTTGCATCGCTCACGCACGACAGGGCGTTCACACCTGGCGCTTTGCTAGACGTCATCAGCTGATTTCGCAGCCCATCATATCGCTTCTGGCTAGTTCTTTTATTTTTGCTTTTCTTTCCAAGATTCATTGGAAAAGTGATGGGCCGACCCCAATCAAACAGATGTATATGCGTTTTTGAAGTAAACTGAGGATTGCGGAGAGTAAATTTTCACTATTAGTATATTATTTTATTTTCACTATTAGTATTATATTTTATTATATTTAAAATATACTAATAGTGAAAATTTACTCTCCGCAATCCTCAGTTTACTTCAAAAACGCATATACATCTGTTTGATTGGGGTCGGCCCATCACTTTTCCAATGAATCTTGGAAAGAAAAGCAAAAATAAAAGAACTAGCCAGAAGCGATATGATGGGCTGCGAAATCAGCTGATGACGTCTGGCAAGCGCCAGGTGTGAACTCCCCATCGTGCATGGGCGATGCAAAGCGTGCGCACCAAACCAATGCTGCGCGGAAAACACCAAAGCGAATTGATGCCGAGTACATGACTCATGACGCAATGCTATACAATGCTATACGCTATATGAGAAAATCGCTTACAAAGGACTTTGAGAAAGCATATGGAAACGAAATGAAACGCAACAGATTCGATCTACTATAGATTTATCATTACAAATCATTTTGTGATGTAGTCATAACTTTGTGACTTGAAAAGCTAAACCATAGAAGGGGGTGGGCATACATGTAAAAAAACGATACGGTTTCTAGCTCCTCTCTTTTAGATTTTCTTGGATCCCAGTGTACATATGTCAAATCAAGAAGTCCGCTAATCCTTAGATAACCGTCTATAAAATAGGAACATTTTCCCTTCTCTCACTTTCCATGATTCTGCAAAATTAATGAAGAACAAATAAATTAAACATTCTAAGGAGAAGTCCAGTTGGGAGATAGTGGCTTCCCGTTCGATACAGTGCTAGCCAAAACTATAGATTCACTATAAAAAACTGCCGTAGTTGATGTCGATAATAATAAAATGATTATCGACCATTATTGTTATATTGTATATTTTCTTGTCGTTGACAAACCTTCCTAGCTGGAACACTTAAGCCACCAAGGTCCCATTGCTGCTTGATAGCACACTTGGCGGCTATTACTTTCATGTAAGCACCAATAATTTTCCAGCGATACCTGTGTGATCCTATTGTTGGCCAGAAGGAAGCATCTAGGTTGCCACGCCCAAAATAGTGGCATAAATAGACCTAGATGCTCACTTCTGGATCGCCTAGCCAAATCTATATTCCACTGGATTGTTTCCCGCGTAAACAATTCCTTCAACTTAGTGTAATCCAATATTGGTTAACATCAAAGTTCATCTGCTTCTCAACGAATTGGTCTGAGATTTGGTACAGCTGTGCGAACAACAGGCTTCCATCAGTAACTGGAGCGGATCCCGCTTTCGTTAAATTACCCTAATTTCACGCGCACAAGGCGCGGGGTGGTCCTAGCTTTGCTTTCATCGAACTGCTCAGCCGCCCCAACGTGTTTTAAGAAGCGATCCTTATGCCGCACAATTCGTCGGGCAAAACGCAGCACAGTATGGGGTTCCTTTGGTTGCGAAGTCCTTTGCCGTGTTCGGGCTAGTCGATGAAAGCTAGGACCACCCCGCGCCTTGTACGCGTGAAATCAGGGTATCAGGGAAAAAATTAAAAATTTCGAAAAAAGCAGGCTCGAAGGTTGGCCAAAACTATAGATCCACCTAAAATCTTTGTCTGCTACGGTAATTCTCGAATTCCAAAGTCTTTTGTGCATATACATAGTCGAAAGTCAAAGGTGGCTTTAGTCCAGCTGTGTCATACCTTTGTAAGAAACGCTTATCTGCTTTTTTTCACTCAAAAATACTTTCATGCGTATTTTGTTCGCGAAGATGTGTTATAGAGGATTCCGCACTTTTTTGGTTGGTTTGAAAGTGATATGGCTCCATCTATCTTGTAGATGCTTAGCAGTGTGCCTAGTTTTCGTATCCGAATCGCACCGACATAGACCTAACCGCAGGCCTGCGTTCACATTTATGCCTTCAAACTCTTTCTGCAATGTTGTCATGAGCGTGAACTGGAGTAATGACATTGTTAGTATGTATGAGAGTCCGTATGCAGTGGTTGCAGATTTCTGCAAATCCTAGCATACAGGCTAATTGAGAACTTCACCCTATAAAAAGTGATTTGCAACAAGACTTGAAGTTATTTCTGGTTCTGAGCATAATGCTCATGTAAGTCACAAAGCAACAGTAAACACAAGGTGCATTCACTAGTTAGCAGCTAAATAGTGGAATCCAAGGGAGGTACCACTTGGTAAGTACATTGGAATTGCCGAGCGCACCACAAGGCTTATGCTTTGCTTGCAAAAGATTTAGAATGCGACTTCGCAAACAATCGTGACTATAGTTTACAAGCTTCTTTTTATGTAAATAATGCTAAAGAATACTTCTACATTATTTTGAGCTTACAAAAATAACGTACACCAATTTTGAAGGCAAAAACTCGATTGGCCAAAACTGCCGTATGAAATACTGCAGTTTTAAGAGTGGATCTATAGTTTTGGCCAGCATCGTATACTGTCCTAAACGATAACTATGTGGAAATATAGGAAATTGCAAACCTACAGCCATCAGTTCAGGACGAAGTGTCATGTGAATTGCGCAAAAATTCGCAATATGGTTGCAATGCCACTGCTAATCTATGTCATCTCTGATAGCACCGCCCAAGCCTGTTTCCCTCTCCCCTTTTCGGTTCTGAACTCTGCATCCCTCTTTCCTTCTATCGAATACTGCCATGCCCGATGCCGAAAAAATTGCGATAACCTCACTTCACTTCATGCCTGACAAAGAACGTTTCTTACAGAAATAAAAATGACTTGTTCATAGCGTACAAAAAATGGATTCGAGGTCTCAACCTCCCTACCAACGAAGTGTATTTTTGTGACAGAGAAACAGAGAAGGCTATATTATACAGGGATCAGGAATGCATATGACCTATTCGAAGCTGTGCAGCGACCAGGCTATGTCAAACTATTTACACCTGACGAGGAAAGAACAGTTCTGATGCCGAGTCCGAAGTAAAATGTTTCTCACTTGTATTTCGTGGAGGAAGTCAGGAGAAGAAATGGACGACGAATAGCCAACTTCCAGAATGGACATCGTCCTCATCTCCACGTCCTTACCATGTCTTCACTGACGATAAATGCATGAAAAAGAGCTTGGAGTGTCTTCAAAAGCAAGACTATCCACTTTCCGAGTTTCGGCAGAGATTTCCAGCGATGGATTGGTCTTCTTCCAATTATCCGTTGTTCCCTTGGCATTTCGCCAAGCCCCAAAGAAAAGATTCGGCTTCAACCTCCCATAATTCTCCATGGCAGCGGCATGGCTCCTTCCAAAATGTGCACGACTTTATTGACGCAGTACTCGTGGTGGCGCGTGTCGTGTAAGGACACTGAGGAAACTGTCGATAATTTCCAGCTGCTGGGGACTGCTTTTTATGTTAACTGCTCATATTTCTTGCCTTTATATGAAGCGATGAATAAAGAAAAGCACTCTGCTGTCACATGTACATGAGATTTCTTCTGCAAGACAGCTACCCTATTTCACGAGTACAAAACGCTAGGGATTTTTTTCGAAATCGACCAGCCCAAACTCAAAAGATTTCGCGACCATTTGAAAAGAGGAAGAAAAGCTGCGTCGGATAGTGCCTAAAGCGTTTCCCTTTCTTCGTTCTACGTGTTTATATGATATCTTGAAAAAACTGAAAGAATTTTCGGAACGACCTAATATATATAAGAAGATGCGTCGCACCGAGCTGAGTGGACCGGTGCCCTTGGATATTCGCCCACTCTGAAGCGAAATATGGGCCACTGAGGAAATTCGTTAAATTTGAAACTTCAGCATAGACTTGTTTATTTCCAGTGGTTGCATTAATCGCATTGACAGCATAATTACAGAAAAATAGCTTGTCCACATATTGTTTTTGTTGAAGCTCATTTTTTTGTTCTACAATCACGTATCGCAAATACGCAAAAAGTTAGGCTTTCTATCATTTCCATTGGTTTATAAATTTTTCACTAAGGCCGTTGCAAATTTCGGTATTGTTCTCCATCCTAGCCCTTTACGCACTGTTGATGCGGCGATGTTCTGCTTCAGCCGTTTTCGAGCAATACAGCACATCGTTAAATTCTCTGGTAATCGAAAATGCTCTTTAATTTGCCAAATGTACGGCAAATTTTTGTTCCTGTTGCGTGAAAACCGAACTTTCCGAATGACCTAATAATTCTTCATCAAGAGCAGGAAAAGAAGTAAGAACTAAAAAAGGTAAACCTGTAGATCTTATGACCTTATAACCTGTAAATATCATTGTGCAATGTTCGTAACAGTCAGCTAATCAAAAAAAAGAGATAGAATTAATTGGAAAAATAATGAACTCAGAGGGAGAACATTTTATGTGGTCCAGTGCATGAAGTGGAAGCAGTGAATCATGTAACATGGAAAATTTCAAAAATCTATTCACGCGTGATTCGCTGAATCTATTAACTAGAATGAAGATATAATAACGCGACGCTACTAGTTGCAGATAGGATATAAAAACAGTTTGATGGTTGGTAATGAGCGGTATCAACAAAATTTGGAGATGCTTAATATTCTAGGCAAGATATGTTTCTACCCTACTTGATATCAAAAAGAATTCAAACGAAATATTTCAGGAAGCCTGAGCCCAGCTCTCAGACTAGTTTAGCGAATGTGCACGGCGCAGTGTGCGTTGAAATACTGCTGCCTAACCGCAATTTGAATTTGAGCGTTGTGATCCACGGAAATGACGATTATAAACTTCTTTGCACCGACCACTCACACCTGAGATAGTGACAGTGTGACAATCTGAAGGCGATGAAGTAATTTAATGTTGGAAATTTTCTAACATCCAAAGCTCCTGCAATGAACTGTAGGAGAGGGCGTTGCCAAGAATAGTGATCTAATCACATATCAGACTCTTTGTGAATTTGATTGTAAATCAAATTCACAAAGAGTCTGATATGTGATTAGATCTGAGAATACATCTATATAAGGCATTCTACTAATCTCTGCCATTACTGACTCTGCAGGCGCGATCTTTAGTGGTGGGTCAACATAGCTTTGAACAATAAATACCGTAGCATAAAAAAGTAGCTAAAAATATTCCGCTGGTCAGAAAGGTACCGCAAACAGGTACGGCCTAGCGACGGGGCAAAGATTGACTCCCGGCGTCGCAATCGCCTTTATGTCAAAAATTAAAAAACATAAAGTACTTGCTTGTAGGCCCTTGCTCTTTTATATATATACATTGATGACTGTGCATAATATGTCCAACTCAAAGTGAGATAGGCATATGCTTTGACATTCTGAATAGCCAATACCCTAACATAAGATTCACGCGGGATAAACTCGACGAAAATTGGCTAGCTTTCCTGAACGTCCAAGTTTTCATATTTTACAGATCATACGTAACTAAATGATGCAAACGAGCTAGTAAGACTATATTAATTTGCTACCGCTCTGCGCAACCTTGAAGCATGAAACGGTCCGTAGGCAACATGTTCAAGACAGCAAAATCGGTTTCATCCAACGTTGATCCAACATCCAACACCACAATGCATCGATGAACCTTGCCAAAGAGCTTGCGTATCATAACGGCTATCCCCAAAAGGTGCACCAATGCATACCTGTAGGCAAGAAAGCAGACCGATAGAAATGAACCAGACAACAAAAATATCGTTTTGTGTTCTTCGTATATGATGATTTGAGCAAAACTATAAGAACTATAAGAGACTATAAAAGAAACTATAAGAAAATCTTTGTTTCAAGCGGGCCTCGATGATCTTGTCAAAGTTATAGATATCCCTGCTTCTAAATCGTGCGTACGACAGAATGTGCAAGACCGCCGATTGTATTATCTGAGCTCTGGAAAACTAGACGACTGCATGGAATTAGGGGTGGTATATTTCATAAAGTGTCAAAAATGCGGTGACCAATACAAAAGATAGATCGGCACACCCTCGTGCACAAGAATCAAAACATCTTGATGCCCTAGAAAATCCAAAATGGGTGCACATTGAAGGAAGGTTATGTCATGAGAACAGTACTTTCAAGTTAGTGTTATGATCTTGTCGCACGAATCGGAGTTAATGGCCCGCAAAACATTGGAGGCCTTTTGGATAGCGTCTAAACCACCAAAATGGACAGCAAAGATGAAGGCATTATCATAAACGTATATTATCACTATCATATATTATCTAGTCCAAATGCTTAGACCCAAATTACATAATGAATTGTCGTGGTATTAGAGTATGAGCAACTGTGTATTTTTGTCTTTTTAAGGAACGCCTAGAGCGCATGTATTAAATAAATAAATAAACATCGAACTGTTTTCCTATCAAACACTATGTGGATTCTAATACGAGATCTTATATAACCATATAAGGGCATTGTGGACACTGTGACTATCATACTCACTCATAGTGCAGCAGCAGCGCAGTACTGGTTGCTCGGTCTCTACATTCCGATCTGAAAAGGCTGAATTCAGGCTTACACATCCATTCACTACTCCATCAGAATAGCTAGACTGAATTTACTGCCAAACAGGGTGTTTGAGCAGGCAGTTCTCAAAGTCTCAATCTTTCAGGAAGTCCTGATGAAGGCGGACGGACCGCCAACGTTGGCTTGTCGCGCAATAAAGTCTTGCTGTTAACATTGGTCAACAACTTAATGACTGTGTTACAATTGAATCACAATGCCAAGGTTTATCGACAATCGGGCACAAAATATCACTTTCCACCTTTGACTTTTTTAACTATTCCCAATCCTGTGCGAACGACCGTACCGATAATCGGAAGGTTTCTAACCAATCCTCCTGCTATCTTTCTGATAATTCCGCATTCACCAACGTCCACAGCAGTGAGAATCTGTAAGCATTAAAGTAATGTACAGTTAGTAAGTCTAAGGAGTCAAATCGCAAACTAAATCATGTCTTGTTTGGTCAACCTACCACTAAGATGGTAAGTAACAAAAAGGTAAGGTTGAAAATTCTCATTCTTGTCGAATTGACCTGAACTACCTGGAAAAATATTTTGAGAAAGTAAGCGGTACGTAGAGCGTTTGATAAAACGACGAACAGACGAGACTTCGGCATAAGTGACAGAGAAACAAATGGGGTATGGGACTACAGGGTGTCCCAAAAAAATGTTTCGAACGTTTTATCGTTAATATCTCTCTTCCCAGGAAGTCTTTTGCCTTGCTTCAGGTACCGTTCTGTAGAGCTGGCTTCAACTTAGATGTGCATTATAAAACGAATCACCCATCTCTCTTCATTACTGTAGGATTACGGTAGAAACTTGAAACATATGGTGTCAATATGGAAAAATCTGCCTTTTCAAAAAATTTCAAAATAATATGAAAACATGTGTAATAGGGTTTTTATGGACGCTGAGTTCAATGCTAAACTATTCAAAAGATTACGAAGCTTTCTAAACGGTTTAATCGCACTTTTTAAGAACATTGAAAAAATGGCCGCTACCTCTTACTTGGCATAACTCGTCAATGAAGCATCATAACAAGTTGGGAACTTTACAGTTGTTATCAGCAACTCTAATTAGCCTAGTGTAAAAGTTTTC